TCAGAATTTAGGGTCACAGGCAGGCAGTGGAGGCAGCGTGAGGTCCCAGAGAGCTTCACGGGGGTGGAGGGACAAAAGGGAGGAGAGGGGCCTACAGGAGAGTGAAGGTGCGAAGCACACTGGCCCCCCGCATCTGGCTCAGGGGTCTTCCCTCCCTGTGTGCCAAGTGGCATGGGGGGAGCTCTTCTCACTGTGCTGTGGTGCCCAGAAAGACACCCATGCATCCCCACATCTTGCTGCCTCAAAAGGTGCATTCTGGTTCACACGGGCATCGGGGGCTGCCTGTATCCCCAAAACCCGTGCCGTAAGCATCAGGAACAGCAGAGAGTGAGTCTGGGCCACCAGGGGAGGAGGTAAAAAAGAGCAGATATTCTAGGGATTCCAAGGGGGACTTAGAGCCTGACACGCATGGGGGGAGTCTGTCCTGCCAGGTGAGGGCCCAAGTTCCCCTGGTACAGGAGACGGATTTAAGGTCAATTGCTCATTCTAAAGGGGGATATAGAGCAGGTTCTTTCCCCCGTGGGCGAAGGGGGCTTTTATCCAGAGGCACAGACTCAGAGTGACTAAAGCACACCCAAGCTTTAACGCCCCCTCTGTTCCCCAGCAACTTTGGAGGGAAACGGTGGAGAGGAGCCTTAGTCAAAGAGGGGAGCATGGTGCAGATTCTCTTGCTCCAGTTGTGATTTCAGGGGCAAGACAGGTGCTCCCTGCCACCTAGAGCTCCTCAAGGAAGCAGAGTTCTTTTCTGTCAGTCTGGCTGGAGGGGAGAGAGTGGCCCACGGCAAGCATAGCCATGTCCCCAAGGCACGTCGTGCTGTCTTAAGCTATCCCAGGAGTTGGCCACGGAGCAAAACTTAAGAGCAGCTGGGGGTCATCCTGTCGTCAGAGTGGACTGTCAGTCCAGGCCAGGCATATGATCACATGGAGGCTGGCCAGCTGGTGAGCTTCGGTGCCCAAGACCAGCAGGAGGCCATTCATGGTGGGGCCTCCAGCAGAGAAACTCTGTCCTCAATTTCTTCCTCCTGTCCTCGGAAGCTGCCCCCCCCCAAGAGCTAATTCCACACATTTCGGAAGAAATTTGGTGCCTAGATTCACACTGTGGTATTAAAAGTCAAGGCCTGCTAGCTGGAGCTACTTGAGACCATCTGGTGACCAAAGAGATAAAGTGTCACTTCAAAATATTGCTGGCCTGAGAGGGTCCCAGACCCCGGGGGAACCTGTAGCAGAGACCTCCAGCAAGACCTGTTCTCCTGGCCGCTTTCAGCCCTGCCAACGTCTAAGGGCCTTAGAGCTTTCTCTGTTTGATTAGAAATGAGGGGGACGTCTTTAACATGGAGGAGGATGGTCCCCAGCCTTCTCCCCACCCTGGCCCTCAGCTTCCCACAGAGGGACGGTTCCTGCTAGAAAGAGCCACAGTGCTAAGCACAGTTCTCCTGGCATTGCCGAGCCCTCTCTTGGTGAAGGTGACATTCCTGTCCAGAGCCCACCTGGCCCCAAGGATACACCCCCTCCCTTCCCTAGCCCACCTCACAGGCCTCCTGGGACCAGAAGGGATTAGCCTCCTGGAATGAGATCTGAAACTGTGGAATTCTGCCTTCAAGCCACAGGGGATGGTGTGCAGCGGGCTGTGATTGCTGGGACCCGAGAGTGCTCGGAGCGTCTGGTGGCACTTTGTCTTACGTGATGTGTTAGACCTTGCACTCAGTCTAGGGTGAGCCTTCTTCATGGGTCTCCCTTGGAAGCAGACTTCTCTGAACTGGAGGGGAAGGACCGATACCTTCTAATTCCGTCGATGCACATTGCAAGTGTCCCATGGAAATGTCCCCTGGGAGCTGCTCCTCTCACCCTCCTGGCAAGTTTGGGTTTCAGTTCCCAACTTAAACTGGCCAACAGCTTCTTACTCCCTTACTGGCAGAGGCGTTACTCTCTGGAGTCACTTGAAAGGGGGTTTGGTTGGAATTGCTTAATCTCTTCATGTTGAGCCAGAGACTGAGTTTAAACCCATGGTCATCAAACCGAACGCACTGCTACCCACTCATTAACTCCTATTAGGGCTTTGAGCATGGGCAGCATCCCGAGCCCTCCCGCCAACCCACCCGAGAGAAAGAGAGCAGTGGGACTCCATGCACACAGCTGGATTGCCCCTAGACCCTGGGCCACTCCTCCCATCGGCTGAGGAGGAAGCAGAGTATGGTCGTCCATGGGAAGACCCATGGGGCGTGGAGGTCTAAGCCCAGATTCTGCTTTGCCTCTGACCCTCTCTTCCATGAAGCCTTTCCCAGATGACCCCACCCCGTAATGATCTCCCTCTCTGAGCCCAGGGGCTCGTTGCCCTGAGCTGTGTCATCTTCCATTTCAGTTCTTCCTGCCCACCCTGAGGGCTGAGGGGCTCCTGGGAGATGGGGGGTGGGCGGGAGTGGCACAGGTGGCCCAGACACCCCACCACCTTCAACCAGCCTCACTCCAGACCCACCCAGCCAACCTGTGTTCACAACCCCTATCTGCCACTAATTGGCTGGGTGACCTGGTGTCAAATGACTGAACCTTTTTGGACCTCCATTTCCTTGTCTGTGAAATGAGCATTATAGTAGTATTTACCTCGCGGAGCCATGACGAAGGTTAGATGAAATAATGCATGTAAGGTCTTTCTCACAGTGCCCGACCACAGCTGGCCTTTAGCAGAGGCAAACCAGAGCTACCCATTGGTTTTAAATAGTGGGTCTGTAGATAAAGTTCACTTGGAGGAGGGAAAAAGAAGTTTGCTGGAAAAAAAAAAAAGTTTGAGAGCCACTGAGTTTCAGTGGGCCCCTTTTACACACGACCCCATGTAGCCTAGAGAGGCGAGAGAACTTCCTGCTAGGATATTACCTGATTTCTGTCTTTCCTGTCTTGCTGGAGAAAATGTGCTTTGCAGTCAGGGCCACACTGGCTTTACCTTTTAACACCCCCACACCATGCCCAACGCCAGGTTCGGTCCACTCCAGGTAAGGGTGGGTCCTCCCGGGGTGGTGTCTGATGGCAAAACAGGGGTGCAGCTGAGTGCATACAGGTGGGCAACCCAGGTACCTCTTCTGACGTCCAAGAAGTGGGGCTTTCTCCCCATGACATCCCCACCCAGCATGTCTGTTTGGTCTTTGCTGACTCCTCCCAGATTCAGGTCACATCCTGGCACTCACCTTGTTTCATGTCGCTCCTTCCCATATGTACCGTGGACACCAGCTCTGTGCCAGGCACTGGGCCCTTCAAACCAAGGTCATCTGGCCATCAGCTCTCATGCGCAAATTTGCCCATGGCCTCCGTGATTGTTTTAGGATTTGATTGCTCTGAAGTAGCCCAGAGTTACGGATCCCCAAGAGATTTCAGCTGCCAGAATTCCCAAGAAAGTCCCCCAAGTCTTAGAAGCGACCTACCCCCACAACCGTCAACCATCTCTTCAGCAGCTCCTGCCTGTAACAGAGGAGATGGAAGCACACAATGGCCCCAGAGGGTGGACTGGTGCTTGGGGCTCCAGTTTCTTGGTGTGGGGCTCCTTCTGCAACATCGAGCATCTTTTCTGCATTAAGGTTTTTAGTGTGGTGGGGGAGGAATGGGGTCGGGGGGAGGGAGCCACCACCACCCATGGTTGGTGATGGCCAACAAGCCTGCCGTGTGGCATAATTGGGTGAGCCAGCAGCATTTACCTTCACCGTGACTGCCCCCCAACACCTGAGGCTCCCCCCACCGACGGGCCCTGATCCGGAGGGGGCAGAGCCTAGGAGAGAAAGAAGGAAGGGACTCAGGAATGTGGGCCTTCAGAACCATGATGAATAGAAGATGAGCCACCAATTTCATTCACCCGGGTCCTGCTGCCGTGGGTGCCCCTGCCACCCCCGGAGTTGGACACCCCCCCCCCCGCCACCCACCACAGAAGACATTCAGTTGGCCTCTCAGGGAAATCAGCTCCATAGTCACATTTCAGTAGCTGAAAGGAGAAAGCAAGCCTTTCAGATTTCAGCATCTTTGGGGGAGAAAGATAAATCTACATCCCATCTTTCTGGGCCCATTCCTGGCAATTTTCTCAAATATCCCTGCAGTTTGTTAAAAACCCCCCTCATCAGCCCAGCTGGTGGTGGAAGGTGAACGGTCAGAGGAAGGGGGCAGGCTTCTGGTGGTCCCAGAGCCTTCCTGGCCATGGCTCCTGCTCGTGGGCAGGACACAGAAATTCTCAGAACTGTCCTTTCGTGCTTGAAACACTCAGGCCACAGCTTCCCATAAAAGAAGGGAATGACAGTAATGACGTTTACTGCATGCTCCCTACCAGGTACCACGGTCTGGGCCAAATGCCTGACCCAAAGGATTCGTTGATTCTCTCTGGGAGAAACTGTTATTCCTGAGCATCTTCCTGATAACGGGGGGCTGAGTCCCGGCCAAGTTCCCACAGCTGCAAGTAGCAGGTCTGGGCCTTGCTCCTGTCAGGCGAAGCTGTGCCCACGGAGCACCCCTCTTCTGCTGCTGAGCTGTGGTTTTGCTGGCCCTTTTGCCCATTCCAGACCTTCTCACACAGGACCTCGAGGCTGGGCAGGTGTTCACCTTGCCCTCTGAGCAGACAGGCCCAGCCTGGGAAGGGGCACCTGCAAGCTCCCAGGCGGTTCGCCGACCAACCCATCCATGTCGCACAGCTCTGGACACACATCTCGTTCAGGTCTGACCCCAAGCCCAAGACACAGAGACATTCTCAGCGTGCTGCAGATGAGGGCAGCAAGGCTCACAGGAACCAAGTGACCTCCATGAGGTCCCACAGACTGAAAGTGGCAGAGCCAGAAACCTGGCCCTACCAGGTTTGGGAGGTTTGGGAGTCCTTCCCAGGCCCCCAACCCCCACTGGGCTCGTTCACCGCCTCCCAGCCCACAGCCACCTCCGCGCGCCCCTGAACGCGGCGTGTGGCTCAGGGCCTGGAGTGGGCGGAAGAGGTGGTGCCCTGCTCCCACCCCTCACTGACACGTCCTGTTTTCTTCCTCCAGTCCCCAGTTTTCGTTGCCCAAGTTGGCCAGGACCTGGTCTCCCAGACAGAGGAGAAGCTCCTACAGAGGCCCTGCAAGGAACTCTTTTCTGCCTGTGCACAGTAAGTGCTCCCTCGCTCCCCAGGCCAGGCCTCAGGCCCTTCAGCCTCCTGTCAGCAGCCACATGGCCCCGGAGAGAAGCTGCCCCTACCCTCCACCTGGAGCGCCGGGCACCAGGGCAGGTCTGCCGTGCCCCGGGAGCCCCAGCCAAGCCGCCCAGCTGTTTGTATACTTCTTAGGAATGGAAAAGATACCCAAGTGCCAAGTCCAAAGAAAACATCTGCCTCTAAGGGTGTTGAAAGCAAGTGGCTCTCCAGGCTGTTGAGACAGAGGAATGTGCAAAAACTTGACCCCGTCTGGGCGGTTTGGGAGTCCTTCCCAGGCCCCCAACCCCCACGGCCGCCAGCAGCCAGAGCCGGGTAGCACTGCTGCAGGAGGGGGGCTGGAGGCCGCCTTCTCAGCCACACCCCATCACCTCGTCTGTGGGCCATAGGGCCATCCTAATGGATAGGAGACAAGTCGGTGGGTGTGCTGCTGGTCAGATACCAGTGAAGCCCCCACCTGTCCCTTGCACACATCCTGGAAAGGCGCACACACATGCCTGTGCCCACACAGGTACCCTACCCCATACGCTGCACACCAAAAACTTCCCGGAGCCTGATCGCCCCCCCACAGCTTGCTGTGCACCCTCGTTCAGCCTTTGCCCCACAGACAGCGGGGCACCTGCTGCGTGCCTGGCACAGTGATAGGTGCTGGGGGTGCCATGGTGAGCAAGAACCCAGTCCTGGCTTTCATGGAGCTTAACAGCCAGGTGGGGAGGACATGAAAACCAGTGCCCCTGTGCACTGTGGGACGAGCTGGGAGCCCCATGTTGAGAATGGACATTTAGGGAGGGCCAGCCGAGGAGAGAGACCCCCCCTCCCCTCCACAAGCAGAAACAGAGCCGGTTGCTGTCCTCTTGGAGCTGGCTGAGGGTCAGATCTGACAGCGGGTAAGGCCCCTGGGCTGTCACTGTGACCCTGGCCCCTGCTCTCCTGTTTGGCAGGAGACAGCGTCCAACAAGGCCTCCACTGTACATGCTGCTCCCCCCGACCCCGTCCCCCACCCACAGGTCCCAAGTGCCTGGGCTAGATTGGGCAGCATCACCACTTTTTAAAGGAAAGAAGCCCATCCCTGCCTACAGCCAGCTTCAGAACCCTGCGGGCCTGGCCCTCAGCAGGCGACCAGTGAATTCTCCTGCGGGGATGGAAATCTCCCAGTGGCTTCACTGGTCTTGGACCAAATCCAGAGCCTGGGCCCTGCATCCCTTGCTCCGCCCACCCCCGCACGCACACCCCTGCGCCCGGTTATTCTTCTGTCCTCGCCGCAGCTCAAGAGTCCCTTCTTGAGAGAAAGAGAGCTACCTGAGCCCCTCCCCGCCCCGGGACCTCGCTTAACCCTCCCTCATGATAACATGCTTCTGCAGGCATCTGTTTGGTGATTGTCCCACGTCACAACAGCAACCTCAAGCTCACAGCTCTGCCCCGGGCCTAGAGCCGTGCTATGGCGGGGACCCAGTAAGTGTCCGCACGATCAGGCAGTCACTTTGTTAGGATGATGGGCCTCTGAGGCCAGTTGTTACCTGCTGGATATGTATACGGCTCTGTCCGGCTGCTTCAGGCCGGGATTATAAAATGTTTGTTTGTTCCCTCTGAGCCAGGTCTGTCCACGACTATCTGAAGGGAGAGCCCTTCCATGAGTATCTGGACAGTATGTATTTTGATCGCTTTCTCCAGTGGAAGTGGTTGGAAAGGTGAGTGCTCCCCGGCACAGCCCACCTACAAGTGTGTGCCAATGTGCGCACGTGGCAGGGGGCGGGGGGACAGGTTTTCCACCTGGGAACTCATAAAAATCAGTTACCGCCACGGGTCCATGGTTCAGATAAAATTAGCCATCCTCCTGTTGATTAAGTTCTTGGCTATTCTAGACGTGCTCTGTGCTTATTAAAGTGTGCATGCACACACACACATTCATAAATACATACGTACTTATTCTTACCTTTTTGGTTCACAGTTTTTGGGAATCCTCCCTCTGCCAGCAAATAAAGAGCTGCCACTTTCTCTGAATGAGTGGCACATCTCTGATTTAGCTCAGTCCCCTGTTGACGGACGTGGAGGTTGCTCTCAATTTTGTGTACAATCTTCCCTAAATAACGAGTAGCTTTGTACATATATCTTCAAGTACTTTTGCAAGTACATCCATAGAAATCCTGGCAGAGGGATTTCTGGGTCAGAAAGTGCCAATGTGAAACCGTGAGGGACCGCTAAGTTGCCCTCCCACACACAGCTGCCCCCCATTTCCAGGCCCGCCGGTGCCCCAGTGCCTGCCTCCCCTCCACCTCATCAACGCTGTTCTCGTGCTGTCCTGGCCGGTGTGTGAGCAGCAGGGTTTCCTTCTTGTGTATCTTGTCATTTCTAATGGTAAAACTGAGCATCTTTTCATGTTCCCTGCCTTCTCTCCGCAAAGTGTTCTCACAGACGTGGTGGTGACTCGGCCTGGCAGCTACAGCCTCTGTGTGACTGATGAGGAAGGAGAGCCCCCGAGAGGGTGCGGCCCGGTCACACAGCAGGCCAGCAGTGCAGCCGAGGGGGGGGCCCCAGCCCATGACCCCCAGCACAGGGCTCTGCCCACCACACTGTCCCAGAGTTGGCAGAACAAGGCAATGCCTGCGTTAAATCCGTGCTGGGCTCTGCTGGTAGACAAGGGCGGGGAGCACCCCGTTCCGCAGCCCAGGGGTCCCTGCGCCTGAGGCCTGGCACTCACGGGAATCTGGGCACCCTCTGGGCAGAGAGCCAGGAGCCATCTTACTTCTGCCTGTCCCCACCTTCGCTGGCGAGTGCCCTGCAGACGCTTAGGGATGCCCGAAAAGCCCCATCCACGACCCTGCCCTGCCCACTTCAGGAAGCCCGGAAGGAAACACCCAGCTCTGCACCACCGGGGGGAATGACAGTCAAGCAGGGGGCAGTCTCCTCTGTGGGCCCCTCACACGTGCACATCGTGGCTCCGGGAGACCCAGGGAAGTGGGGGTCAGCGCGGACATCCGGCTGAGGGCCCTGGAGGCCACAGCCTGGGTCTGGGTCCCGGCTCTACCTTCTCCCCAAGGACCTTGGCAAGGGCTGCTCACCCCTCCCCACCTCAGTTTTCTTATCTGTGAGATGGGGATGATAATAGTGCCTGCCTTTGTAGGCACGGGTGTGGACGAGCTGAGGTAAGCATAGTACATGCCTATTAGGCAAGAGCTCAGGAAAGGTCAGCCATTTGGCCCCGGGAAGTCAGGTGCTGTATACAGTTGTTGTGCTGTCACCCTCAAGCATCTGGTATGGGAGGGAACCACTGGCCCTTGTGTTTCTGATGATCGCAGGACAGTGTGGTGGGGACGTATTCGTCACCCCCAGAGCCCAGGGCTGTGTGCCACACCCCAATCTCTGCCCACCTTCGCGGGGTGGCAGCGTGGGGTTGAGTCCCTGGATATGGGCTCTGCAGCAGGCTGCCTGGGGATCCAGCCCCAAAGCCACCACTTACCATCATGACCTTGGGCAGCTCGTTTCCCCTCTCAGGGCCTAAACATTCTCACCTGCACAATGGGGACTGTGCCACCTCCTGAGGCAAGAGTGAGGATTACATTAGTGCATGTGCAAGGTGCTTCACCCAGTGGGGACTGTTACCATAAAGACCCCCAGGGGAGATGTGTCCTTTGTTCCTAGAGTTCTTTTTTTTTTTTAAGATTTTATTTTTTTGACAGAGCACGCAAGCATGTACAAGCAGGGGGAGCGGCAGAGGCAGAGGCAGAGGGAGAGGGAGAAGCAGGCTCCCCGCCGAGGAGGGAGCCCAATGCAGGGCTCGATCCCAGGACCCTGGGACCGTGACCTGAGCCGAAGGCAGACGCTTAACCAACTGAGCCACCCCAGGCGCCCCTGTTCCTAGAGTTCTAATAATGACATCTGACACACAGCAGCTTACAAAGAGCCTTGGGATGCAGATGCCTTTTCATTGTTGTTTTACTGAAGATACAAGGCTCAGAGAGGTTGATCGATTGGCCCTGGGTCATGCAGCAAGGGCCTGGCAAGGCTGGAACCTGAACCCAAGGCCCTGCGGTCAGGTCCTTCACCCTTATTCCACCCAGCACTCTGTTCAATAGAATCCTTTAGCTGTGGCCACTGGCTTTGATTTTACTTGTCTGTACTGAACACTTGAAATGGAGAAACAGACTTAAAATCTGTGTTGACTGCGAAGAAGTTAGGCCCTTTTGTGGGCATTAAGTTGTTGAAGGCACTAGGGCAGGACCCTGGCCTAGAAATGCCCCTAAATGACTGACAGCACCCTGCTTCGTCCCTTTCCCTTTTTCTTTTCTTTTTTTTTTTTTTTGCTAACAGAATCATGGCCTGTTCGTGCTGTACTGTTGAAATATTGAAGGGATTTTCTCCCTCCCAAGGTTAACCGAGAAATTCCTCGGAGACTGTATTACACTCATTTCCCCTAGCAAAGGAGCTCTGTGGTAATGCCGACCGACTGTTTGTTCTCCATGTATCGTAAACTGTTAGGCCCGGGCGCCTTCATGTGGTTTCGAGGGCAGCTGTAGAAACGCTTCCCAGCGCCGCATGGCGGATGCAGCCGCATGGCAGGCCTCACTGCAGCCCAGCCGCTCGTGTGCAGGGGGACACAGAGCCACGGAGAGTCTGCGGAGGGGCGGCCCTGCGCTCCCAGCGGGGAGATGATCAGTGTGCCGCTCCCCCCGCCACAAAGAAACAGAAGAGAGAGTGAGTCAGGGCACGTGGACTCCAGACAGGCGTACTGGTGGGGGGCGGGGGTTCAGGGCTGTCCTGTGAGAGGTGTGGTGCCGAGGACCTTCAGGACCCATCAGCAAGCAAGGTTGCAACAGAGGGTTCATTCAGGAGCTGCTGAGTGACCGGAGGCTCAGTGGTCTTTCTCAAGCTGACCCAATTATGTGGGCCAGCTCAGTCCCACTCTAGTGTGTGCCCTGGTCCGGCCTCTGCGCTGGGGTTGGGGGATGCTCAGGAATAGTCCTGGAGGTCCGAGAGCTAAGTTGGACATCCTAAAAGCAGCTTGTTCTTTATCCATTCATGGTCCAAGGACACTTAGGTTGTTTGCATCTCTTAGCCCTTGTGAATAATGCTGCGGTCAGCATGGGAGGGAAAACGGGGTAGATACATACAACGGAATATTATTCAGCCTTAAAAAAGAAGGAAATCCTGCCATTTGTGATAACATGGAGGAATCTGGAGGATGTCACGCTAAGTGAAATAAGCCAGACACAGATCCTGCATGATCTCACCTAGATGTGGAATCTAAAATAATGTCCCAGTCATAGAAACAGAGAGTGGATGGTGGCTGCCAGGTGCTGGGGCGGGGGGGGGTAGAGGTCATGGGGAATGTAGGTCAAGGGATGCAAGGTTTGGGTTAGTTCTGTGGGATGAATAAGCTCTGGAGAGCTGACGTACAGTGATGTGACTCTAGTTCACGGTACTGTGTTGTATGCTTGAAGTTGGCCAAGAGGGTGGATCTTAAGTGTTCTGACCAGCGAGAGAGAGGGAGAGGGCAAATGGTAACCATGGGAGGTGACAGAAACTTAGCTTGATTGTGGTGATCCTTTCACAACGTGTGCGTGTATCAAAGCATCAAGTTGGATACTATTTGTCAGTTATACCTCAGAAAAGCTGGGGCTGGGGGCAGCTGATTATTTTTAGCCAAACAGGCCAGTGATGAAAAAGCCCAAGCTGTCTGCACTCTGGAGTTCTTCAAGGCAATCTTAGATGACCACTTGTTTATTTACTCTGTGAGGTCCCACCCTTGCCTCATGATCAGAGGGTCCATCTGATTAGACTTAAATGGCCTTAGCTAATTAAAATGGGGGTTGGGAGATACAAAGCAATGATTACTTCATAAATACTGCTTTGGGCAGACAGGATCTTCTGGTGCTGCGGAGCTACGGGGGAAATGTGATAAAGGGGCCCTCGGTGGTGGAAGGGCTGGGGGCCTGCAGTAAAGGATGACCAGCAGCCTTTCTCCCTGGGGACAGGAGGTGGGCGGGCAGACCAGATGTGCAGGTGTGGGGAGGGCTCTTGTGTCCTCCCTGGGACACCGAACTGGTGCGGCTCCTGGCCCCCTTCCTTCTCCCTGCAGAGGACACTGCTGCCTTCTGAGCTTAGCCACCTGATTTTCACTGGGGAGAGAGAGGGGAACCACACGGAAAGTGTGGTGAAGCAGCTTCTTCACACATCTGCTCTTCCCTCCAAGCAAGCGAGCGAGTGAGCGAGGACTGCTCGGGTCCCAAGACACACGGGGCCGAGGGCGGGTGGCCTGGGATTTGAACCCCCAGCCCCAGAGCAAGTGCTTGAGGGACCCATCCGCAGTGATGATTCCTGGCGGTTTGGAGGGCATGCAGTGCCACTGTCGTCTGTTTCTTGTGGCTTCTGCATCTCAACACCTTGAGACCAATGTTGGATTCTTGCTTTTTTCCAGGCAACCGGTCACCAAAAACACTTTCAGGCAGTACCGAGTACTAGGAAAAGGGGGCTTTGGGGAGGTGAGTAAACATCCGCATCCTCAGTGGGAAGTTCCCCTGCTCTGCCACTGTTTCTGTCCCTTCTGAATGCGCCGACGGCATCCTGCGCCCCCTGGCGGGGAGGGAGGGTGAGGCATGGGGCCCGGGAACAGGAGGTGCCGCTGAGATGGGAAAGGAGGCTGTCTGCAGGGCCGGTGGGATGGAAGTGCTCTTGGAGCCTGCCTCAGGGTTTGTGTCTGGAGAGGAGGAATGGGCGTTTTTGGCTGTCTTTGGAGGGAGGAGTGAGAGCATGAGGGGCCCAAGCATCTTGGCCAGATGATGCTAATCTTCCCAGTCTGTGAGGCAGGCCTTGTTATTCCCATTTTAGAGATGAGGAAAACTGAGGGTCAGAATGGTTGATGACCCAGCCAAGGTCACGCAATCAAAAAGGGGTGGAACCAAGAAGATGAGAACCCAAATGCCTTGGCTCCTGTTCCACTGAATTATAAAGTCAGGGTTGTCAGGGGTCTGACACCAAAACAAGCCTCCCTTACCAGCAGCTGGTGCTTTGAAGTCCCCAGTTAGCAATGGCTGCATCTGGTGGAAGCTTGGGATGGAGAAACTCTAGTTGCCTCTGAGAGAGGGGCAGCACTTGAGGCTTTGGCCGGTCATGTAAACACCAGTGTAAATGGTTGGTCGTGCACCTTGAAAAGCTAGGATTCCCCTAAGGATAGAAGGAGGGAAGCAAGGGGCACGGAAGCCAGCTCTTGAGGGCAGGGCCTGGGGCGGCAGTGGGTCCAAGGCCAGGCATCCTTGGGTCCCGTGACTGGGAGCACCCTCAGGCCAGGCTCTGATGCATCAGGTCTCTGCCCCGCCAACCCAGCCTCCTGGCCTTGGAGGAGCCTGGGGCAGGCCTTCACCTGTCCCATACCCTTGGCTTCTCTCTTGCACCTCAGGTCTGCGCCTGCCAGGTTCGGGCCACGGGTAAAATGTATGCCTGCAAGCGCTTGGAGAAGAAGAGAATCAAAAAGAGGAAAGGGGAGTCCATGGCGCTTAACGAGAAGCAGATCCTGGAGAAGGTCAACAGCCAGTTTGTGGTGAGTGTCCAGGGCCCAGCGCCAGGCCACCCATCTAGTGACCAGGGCTTCTGTCCCTTGGGAAGGGGGGGTCCTCCAGTGTGGCAGGTCCCCATCCCCCAGGGAAGTGGAATGCAGTGGGAGGATTAAGCAGCAGAAAGGCGACCAGGCCTTCCCTCCATTACAAGGCTCCCCGTGGCCAATCATGGCTGACTTGCTCCGGTCACTCGAATTGGCCTGGCTCCCCTCTGTGTGTGGGACCAAGGCCTCTGTTCTCTAGAACCACCTTGTAAACTCCTCAGTGGAAAAAGCAGCCCACCCTGGGCCCAGCCAAGGAGCTTTGTTTCCACAGACCCCCCGCAGGCTGGTTTCATCATGGGGGAGACCTGAGTGTCAGTATCCTGGAGAGGTGCCATCTTGTTTATGTTCATTGTGTTACCATGTCTCGGCCAGGCTTTGCTGTGGTAACGAACTACCCCCCAACCCGAAGTAGCTGGACACAACAAAGACCGTTGTCACGTACACAGAGTCCAGCCAGATCCAGCCACCCTCCTCCATCTTACAGCCACCCCACCTAGAGTCTTAAAAGTGTGTGCTGGGAGATTTGCCCAGGGACCCTCACTGCCTCGGCCGCAGGGACGTGCTTCACACCGCCCACAGCCCGTGGGCCAGAACTAGTCACTGCAAGGGCCGAGCGAGCTGCAGGGAAATGTGGAAGAGCGCGTGGGTGTTTGGTCAGCTCTTGATACCTCGGCCACATGTCGCTATAAAAAAACATGTACAGGGTGAAACTCCTACAGCACAGAGAGGTATGAAATACAAATAAAAGCCTCCCTCTTTGGGTAGCCATTCTAACATGGTGGATTCATGCAGGGGCTTTAATATTTTTAGCCAGTGGGGTCCTACCAGACGTCTTAAGCTGCAGTGTTTCCCCTTAAATTGTAGGTCTTTTCCTGTGGCGAGACCTACAGCTGTAGCTCTTTTTTTTACACTGTGCACCTCCCTCCCTGCTGTCCGGTATGGAGATTACCCATCATCTGTGCAACCAGTCCCCACCACTACGGATCAGTTCTGGTGTTTAAGCCACTGCCGTGTCCACCCTTGCACATCCCTTTGGCGCATGTCCATGAGTGTGTCCGTAGGATGGATTCCTGGTGGAGGCTTTGTGGTGTCAGAGGGTGTGTGCATTTTCCATTTGGTAGCAGTTCCCAAATGGCTCTCCATCGAGGTGGTGCCGGTCAAACACCCACCAGCTGTGTGTGAGCGCCAGAGATGCCATCGGCCTAGTGCTTTCATCGTTCCCCAGAGGGCGTGGTTTTATAAGGTGACACTCAAAGGGGACAGGAGTGTGCGCCTCTGGGTCTCCTCTCAGGCTGCCCCCAGCTGCCAGCCCCCTTCAGTGGGGACCACAGGTCACTGCCTCCATGCTGCCCGTGGAACCCTCATCAGTAAAGGAAGGGGCACCCTGGCTCTTGTCGGGCTCGGTGATGGTGGGTGCTACTCGGGGGGGAAGGGTGGTGTGCCTGATAAATGGGGTGGCACGTCTTCGAGGGCCTGGACCACCCTCGACTGTGCCCCATCCACTGCCCCTGGCAGGGAGTTGGCCCAGCGCCCTCCAGGAGCCCCTCCTTGGCGACTGTGGGCAGGTGTGGGAGGGAGGGCCAGCCTGGCCCCTGGCACTGAGCACCAGCCCCAGAGCCCTCCCGCTCAGCTCCCGTTCTGTTTCTTTTCCTCAGAAATAGCTCCCATTGTTCCTGGCCTTTGCATCCAAGGTGTATGGCCCCGCCTGTGCCCAGCCTGGTCCCTGGTGGCCAGATTTCATTTGGACTGGCTCCCTAGTGGAGAAGGACAAGTACCACCCAGTGGACTTTGCCTCAGACCCAGTCCTGCTGCCTCTCCCACAACCCTGTGGCCCCCATCCATCCTTGGGCAGCTGATCTCCACCAGCAAGGAACTAGGTCCTGCCTGTTAATGGTCCCTTCGCCCAGACGGGTCCTGCATGCAAGAGGAGGCAGACTTCGCCAGACTGTGTTCCCCTTCACAGAGTCCCACTGGCCGCCTCCCCAGCCCGCTCCCAGCATCCCTGCAGTAACGAGACCGCAGCCCAGAAGACAGCTGGGCTCTTTTTTTCTTGACTGGCCAACAAGGCAACCCAGAGACTTCACCAAATGAAGCACACACAGGCTTTTTCGTCTGTGTAAACACACATGCACCATCTTGTCAGGCTTCCTGAAAGGGCAGAGTACCGGCCTGCCCTCCCCACTTTGCCTCCTCACCTGGAACCACGATATCAGAAGGTGTGTCCTTCGTCAGCCAAGAGGGGCAGTGGGCAGCGGTGCCATGAGGCTGTCGGGGTGCAGGGCAGTGGCATGAAGCTGCTGGGGACCCCATTCCAGCCCCCCCACCAGCTCCAAGGACCCTAAGGAGGATGAGTGGAAGTGGGTGGCAGTCACTGGAACTTCACCATGGTGCTGTCTTGTGCTCCCAGGTCAACCTGGCCTATGCCTACGAGACCAAGGATGCGCTGTGCTTGGTTCTGACCATCATGAATGGGGGTGACCTGAAGTTCCACATTTACAACATGGGTAACCCTGGCTTTGAGGAGGAGCGAGCCTTGTTTTACGCGGCAGAGATCCTCTGTGGCTTAGAAGACCTCCACCGGGAGAACACCGTGTACAGGTGAGCAGACTTGCTCTCCGGTCCTGCCGCCAGAGACTGAGTGGGGGGCTGACCCGCCACATCCTCGGCCAAGCGGGCACCCCCACCCTGGGACTCCTGCCCTGGACCACTTGGGAACCAAGTATAGGAGGTGATGTTCCCTCAGAATTGGTGGGGACGGGCCAAGCTACGGGTCCCTTCCAGCCCAGGGTGCGGGGAAGCTCAGTGAGCCTGCCTCAGAAAGACCTTAGTAGGATCACCAGCGAGAAGCAGGCAGCGGAACGGACCTCAGTCCATCCTTCTCCATCCGACTTGATGGATTCCACAAGTAGTGGTCTTCAAACTTTTCTCACTGTCCCTCTCGAGGAAATCTGAAAATCTGTGTGCCCTTATACATTACAGAAACATCTGAGATAGTTCATCATCTGTTAAAACAGTAGCTAATAGGGGGCGCCTGGGTGGCTCAGTTGGTTGGGCGACTGCCTTCGGCTCAGGTCACGATCCTGGAGTCCCGGGATGGAGTCCCAGGATCGAGTCCCGCATCGGGCTCCCTGCTCGGCGGGGAGTCTGCTTCTCCCTCTGACCCTAACCCCTCTCATGCTCTCTCTCTCTCTATCTCATTCTCTCTCTCAAATAAAGAAATAAAATCTTTAAAAAAAAAATAGTGGCTAATATTTTGAAACTGAACAGTTACATCACATTTTTAAAGGTATCCAGTAGAATCTGATTGCTGTGGCAAAGTGATTTCCACCATTATCCATTTTAAAACTGCATGAAAATTCTTTAAAGGTGAGGGATTCTCTATCATCCTCTTCTCCACCCCCACAGAATGTTATCATAATGTCACCATAATGTTGTTGTTGTTTTTTTGCCTAAAAGTCTGTCATTGATCATCATGCAGCTCTGCAATAGATGGATATATATAAGATTTTTAAAAAATTTCCTTTGACCACAGGCTTTAAGAGTTAAAATAACTTCTGTTGAGTTGCTGTTGCAATGATTATTAGTAGAACCCTTTTCTAATTGGGATCCTAGGGGATTTTGCACCGTGGAGCAGGGCACCATAGTTACTGGAGCTTGAAGGAACCTGCTTCTCTTCTGTCACTTGGAATCTGTGCCACCGAGAAAGGGCAAGTGGGAGGGGAGATCCCAAAGAATGCAGGGACAGGGCTTTCTTGTGTTGAGGATTTAGAAAGGCAGAAAATTCTTGAATTTTCTTCTTTCGGTATTCTTGAAACCGGCAGCACACAGGAGCCCCCTAGACGGTTCCCACAGACCCAGCGGGCCCGCACACCCCAGCACGAAGACCTTGGCCACGGAGCTCTTGGCAGAGATGATCTTGGGGAGTCCAAGAAGGTTTTGAAAACAAGAAGGAATGGTCTTGATGACTTGCTCTTCTCCTCCTGCCCCTATCTCCCCATTTAGGCTTTTGTTCTGTTTTCGTTCAAGTGAGAAGAGAAAAAATTCCCTAAGGGTTGAAAAAAGAACTCTTCACTTGATTGCTTTTCACTCAAAACAAAAAGAAAGAGGGGCCTCCAAGTTCTAAGCCCTTATTCTGGTGAAGAAGAGAACCACAGCGCCTCCCTGGCCTCCGCCACTTGCCATGGCCTCTCTGTGGGTTTGGGTTCTGGCCCGTGCCTGCCAGCCAGCTATCTTTCCAACCCTGTGGCTGCTGGCTTGCTGAGGTGATGGATCTTGCCCTTACTTGGAATTGTTAACACATCAACAGAATGCCAATTAAATAACAGTGGCAAAGTGTTTTGTAATAAATAACTATGTACAAACCCATGATCACCTTGTGAGGCTGCCCCACTGAATTTGAACACAGTAACCCTTCCTCATGAGGTCAGCTGCCATCAGTTAAATAAGCAAAGCCAGTTGGTTGAGAATCGCATCCTCAATCCAGATGCTGATGGCTTAACTGAGTTGCACACGCTATCCTATTGGCTGTTATTTTACCCAGAGAGGACCCGCTACTTGGAAAACCAGACACTTCTGCCGCCTCCCTCCCCCAGCAGGGGAGGGGGGCACGTTCTTATGAACAGTGATGATGTAATCAAAGAGAAGAGACAGGAGGGACAGACAGACAGGGGCGCGCCCTTGCTTGTCACTCCTGGACCGGGAGATGTGCCAGGCTCCGGGGGTCCCCTGCCCAAAGGGGGTCCCTCCTCGACCATTCTCTGTCCCAGCTCTACAGCGGGTGCGGTGTCCTCAGTAACTTCTTTTCGCTAATTCCCAGGCCCCGCTCTGCCTCCCGGGCATCCCAGGGCATCCTGAGACCTCCAGCTGTCCCCAGCCCTGGAGGGGTCTCTCACCACACCAGCCAGAAGCGTGCTCCGCCCTGGTACCATCAGTGTGCGGATGGGAGCCAGGGCTGGCCTTTGCCTGACCCCTTCCCTGTCATCTCCAGGGTCGGGAAGATCCTGGCGACAGCGGCATTTGTTCTAAATACCGGGAGGAGGGAAATTAGTCCATCCAGAGAGAGACCAGGCAACATGAGCCAAGAGGTGGGAAGGAGACACGAAGAGAGGTCAACCGAGACGCCGTGCCCTGCTGCTCAGAACGCCCATACTCACATGCTTGCCATCTTTCCCTTTCAGAGATTTGAAACCCGAAAATATCCTGCTAGATGATTATGGTAAGTTGGGGAGCAGCCCGGGAGACCCCTTTCCTGCTCTGTAGCCAAGATGAGCGTCACAACCCAAAGGGAGCAGTGGACTGTCTGGCAGAGCCTTTCGGAGGCATGGCCCTGGGACCGTGGGAGGGCAGCGGGCGAGTAGGAGGAGCGCTTACCCCTCGCCCCAACCCTGGGTACCTGGGGAAGGCAGTGGGCATGGGTAAAGCTCCTACGTGGTGCAAAAGTAGCGTGGCTTGGCCAAAAGAGAAAAACCGAGAGAGAGAGCACTGATTGAGGAGTCTGGAATTTCAGAGATCCTGGGCAGTACTTACTTAACTCTTACACAACTTCCCTGCGCCCCATCTTCCTTCCTTGTGAAATGGAAACAGTGGGCCCTGCTCTGCCCACATCAGGGGGCGGGGGCGTGGTGGTAAGTTTCCAACGAGATGGTGTGATCAGCTACGGCCAGCTCTTGATGTATTTGGCATTATTTGTGCATTATCACTGCTGTTTTCTTGTGTGCGCGCACGTGCACACACACACACACACACACACACACACGTAACGAGCGGCTACAGTAACGCCTCACAGCTGTTTAGCCTTGCACAGCCCAGAAATGGTGTTCACGCCCGTTACCTGACCAGATCTTCCCATCTCTGCAGAGGGGGCAGGGCCAGCATCCCTGTGCCCACTTGACAGATGACAAGATTGAGGCTCAGAGGAGCTAACCTGCCAAGATCACCCCACAATATCAGTGGGGAGCTGAGACCAGAAACCAGGGGTCCCCCCAGCATGCCCCAGGCAGAGGGGAGGGGGAACGAGAGGCAGGTCTTTGGTGAGGTTTGAGTGTTGTGCTACTGTGTGGAAGAGTGGGCACAGTGTCCCGGGCCTGCTCCCCTCTTGGATGAGCCCAGTGCCCGCGGGGGGTCTTGTTCCCTGCTGGTCTCAGAACCGTGCCCACCACTGGTCTGCAGCCCGATGGCTGGAACCTGCGTGTTCTCTTCTGCCCACTTTTATCAGGGGCTGCCGAGCAGGGAACCTACACAGCTCTGGCCTGGGGGGAGTTCCTGACGTTGGGCCTCGCCGGGGGCCAGGCTGTGGGGCCGTGGCGGGCACTGACAAGGGAGAGGGGGCAGATGTGGCCGTGACCCAGCCCGGGTGGGCCGCCGAACAGGACAACAGCGAGACAGACCTGTCCGCACTGTGTCGTCTTGGCCTCTGGGCGTCGGTCCCAGACTCAGTTCCATCTCTCAGTCTCCCCAAGGCCTGGACGACTTCACTCGGTTTCTCCAAAGGGAGAACACAAAGAACCTCCAAAGATCAACAAGGCAGGACAGGGGGTTGCTTCCCAAGTTGCTTTGTAATTTTTCCCCTTAAGCAAATGGTAAAATTTCAGGAGAAGCTCTCATTTTTCCCATGAAGCAATCCCAGAATCAGGCCAAGGCGTTTTAAACTTGGTGATCTCAGCCTTCCAAAAAGCCCATGAGGGCATTTTACGAGGTAGGTTGGCCATTGTCCAGCCAAATCCAGGCATCCTTTCCTATCTTTTTGTTTTCTTCCTGAAAAGTCTGATTGACCCACGTCCTCTGACACCTGGACTCTCCCAAGGGTCTGCAGTCACCCCGAGGGGGCTGATGATGATGCCCCTCCTCGTGGACAGATAAAAAACGTGAGACTCTATGTGCCTTGCCCAGGGGCACACGACAGGTCTGTGGCCCTGCCCAGGGTGGGGCACACATCCACATGACCGTCCCGGGGACCTGCTGACTCTGCTGTCCCCACTCAGGCCACATTCGGATCTCGGACCTGGGTCTGGCCGTGAAGATCCCCGAGGGAGACCTGATCCGCGGCCGGGTGGGCACCGTCGGCTACATGGGTGAGTGTGGGTGTGGCCCCTCCCCAAGCCCACCTCTTGGGCCGCTGGCCTCTTGGTGCCACTCTGACCAGCAATAGAGCCACAGTGGGCAGTGGGAGGTCTTAGCCAGGGTGGGAGGGGGTGTTGGGGCCCAGGGTTCAGCTTGCTTAAACTGAGCACTCTGAACCCCCCGCCCCGGCCCCAGCTGCGCCTCAAAGCCAAGCCACTCTCCGCGTCAGAGGTCAGTGGTGGGACACCGCGCTGCTCAGGGGAGGCTGATCTGAAGGTAGGGGGCTGGTGAGTTGGCAGGCAGCCTTTCAGAGAGGCCCCTGAGAGGAAGGAGGTCGCTTGGAAAGGCCCGGAAAGGAGTGCACCACCTGCTGTGTCACCAAGCAAGATGCTAAGTAGAGTCCAGCCTTAGGCTCCCTGCCCTGCCACCAACCCCTCACCTCACACGCCTACTCCAGGACCATCGTCCTGAGGGCTGCAGGGAAGAGACCCGGAGCTCCGTCTGGTCCTCTGGAATCCCCCTTCCAGGCAAGGACATCCCCAGGCTTCCTCCTGCACATGGCACCTCACACACATATGCCCACTCACCCCAGGAGGTGGGGGCTCCAGAAAGCTCTGGGAGCCGGGGATGTTGTCCTCTGCCAGGCTCGTGCCAACAACACTTGCCCAGGATTCTATATGTTGTTCTGCTGCTAGAAGATCCTTTTCAGATTGCATGTCATTTGGGAGCCTGTGGGGTGTGTACCTACATATATGTGGCTGTGTGTACCCCCATGCCAATGCTGAGGGGTGGATGGATGGATGGACAGATGACAGAGCGCTCGCTCTGCGCATCTTTGTGGACACCTGTGTCTGTCTCCTCTCGCATGGAGCGTTGCACGCATCCATCTGCAGGGCCTCTGTTATATGCTCACTGGCACATGTGTGGATGTTTGTGACCTGCCTGATGACATGAAGCTTATCTTTTTTGCACTTGTATGGTTAATCTAGAATTCATTTTATCAAAATAGTAGGGAAGCCATAGTGAGAGGCTGTTTCAATTCCAGGTAAACTTAAAATCATCTTTACTTTGGGTGGACACACCTTCATTCCTGGAAATAAATATGTGTGTAGCACCTACCCTGTGTCAGGTGTCATACTCCTTACTGGGACACAGCAGTGAATAAGGCAGCTCAGATTCTAGTGGGAGAGACATTTCTATCCTCTGTGGTCAGGCTTCTGAAGCCACAGTCCGAGCCCTTCAGGAGCACAGAGGAGAGCAGCCAGGGCAGGTGCCCTGGAGGAGGTGGTGTTTATGGCAGTTGGTGAGTAGGAGTCAACAGGGGGAAGCGTGTCCCTACCGTGAAGCTTCAGGCCTTCTGTACTGGGTGCAGGACGCTCCGTCGGTGTGAGCCTCAGCCCTGGCCCCCTGTGCCCCAGCTCTGTCCCGTCACCAGCTGTCTTACCTCTCCTGGCTCCGCTCCTCTGCCCGCAGCTCCGGAGGTCCTGAACAACCAGAGATACGGCCTGAGCCCTGACTACTGGGGTCTGGGCTGCCTCATCTATGAGATGATCGAGGGCCAGTCACCATTCCGGGGCCGCAAAGAGAAGGTGAAGCGGGAAGAAGTGGACCGCCGGGTCCTGGAGATGGAGGAGGTGTACTCCCAAAAGTTCTCCGAGGAGGCCAAGTCCATTTGCAAAATGGTGAGCTCCTGGTGAGCCTACCCCCAGCCGAGAGCAGCAAACAGGGCTGAAGCGGGCGGGGTCAGGGCGCACTAGGGCAGGAGTCAGGAAGCCCCCAAGCCAGAGGAGCGAGCACTCCTTATTGTGGACTGGGATGGTCGGCGAGGGCATCCAGGAGAAAGCCTGAGGTGGGGGCAGGGAGGCTCTAGGACAAGGGAAAGGAGGTAGGCTCCCCTTAGAGGGGAACTGCGTGAGACACCCTCCATCCAGCTTTGGTGGGGAAAATCAGCGTGGAGGAGAAAGGAGGTAATCCCAACTGGTTCCCCAAGACACAAAGGGATCTTGGGGTATCCCCTGCCCTTGACCTTGGCCCCCTGCAGCCTCAATCTCTGGGTCCCTGGGCCCTGGCTAAGGTCAGCAGGTGCAGCTCAGGTGGTGGGGTGGTGATATTTTCAGTCTTTGAACATCTTACAACAGAGTTTTCCTTCCGCCACATGGAATGCTGGTCACGCTGGCTTAGGTCCCGCATGACAACAATCTATGAGTACTGGGATTTGATTGTCCACAGGGGAGGGCGCAGGTGGGGAGTGACGTTTAGACAGGCTGGGCGGGCAGGGCCAGATTGCGGGGCTCGGAGGCTGGATGGAGGAAGCAGTGATGGGAGCCATCAAAAGTGAAGCTGGGAATGGGTCCGCCCCAGTCCGCTGCCCTTCCCCCTCAGCCCAGGTAGGCCCACCCCTGGCCATAGGCGGGCAGATCCCGTTCTCACCTGGCTCTCAGGCTGCCAAGTTCTGCCTGCGTCCGCTTGGGGCCCTCCTCCCTCTGGTGCCAGGCCCAGCTGTGCTGTGTACCCCCACCACCGGCCGCTGCCCTCCACAGTGTCGGCCACGAGGGGACAGGAGGGCCTGAGCGCCGGGGACCCGGGAGCCCACAGACTTCCTGTCCCTGGGACACAGCAGATGAGCAGGGCTGAGGCTGGAGGCTTCCCTCCCTGCCACCTGTGCATGTGCATAAACCACGAGGCTGGAGCGTAGAGAAGCACGGGCCCAAGGAGCTGATTAAAGTGGCAAAGCTTCTGCTTCCAGAAAAGCCGAGGCTGCCCTGTTAGTGGCCCGGGAACCATGTGGTGTAGCTCCCCACCCTGAGGAGGCCCCTCTCCTGGAGCCGTCCACCTGCCCCCTGACCACTGCCTCCCACCCGCTTCGATCTGGTGTCACAGAGCCATGGGAAGAAGGATTTGGGGCAAGAGCTACCATTTGACCACTTCCAGAAAAGGGAACCATAGATCCCCCACTACGTGTGTGGGAGACCCTGAAGGAGGGATGGCGTGTCCACGTGCAAACACCCGCCCAGACCACACGGCCATGGACCCGGAGTCTACCCCGTGGGACCCAGCTAGGCAAAGGATAGAAGAGGGAGGTCATCAGCCATGGTCAGAGCATCTCCAAACGTCCCATGTCAGGGTCGGGGACTCAGAGAAGCAGAGCAGCCCCAGCAGGACATGGGACATGCAGAGGGGACAGAGAGGTGGAGAGGGTCCCCTCCCTGCCCGCTGTCGCTGTCGTCCTGCTTGGTGCCCGGCTTTTGGGCTCTAGGACTGGGGGCCCTACTGGCCCTCTGCTGCCCCCCGGTGGCCACCAAGGGAAAGGCGGCGAGCTGAGCCTGGGGCTCTGGACCCACATTGGCCCATTGGGTGTCAAGTGTCAAACCAGTGTCCCCTCATCTTTCTCTGCTGGAAGAACTGACAAAGGCTTCTGGCCTTGCTTCATCTTCTTACAAATGATCATGGGGTCTTAGGATTCTAGCCTTGGGGCTTCCTGGCACCCCTCACCCCAGGCTGTCTGGCAGCCAGGCCCTGTCCCCTCCAAGAGGCACCAGCTCAGGACACAGCAGGGCCTGACTCTGAGGAAACCATGAAGGCTCAGGGCACATTGGGCTGTTTCTAGACTCCGGAAACTCAAGCCCTGCCTATCCAAGAAGACTACTCCCTATTGCCAGTTCCTTCCTCCATTCCATCTTGGCAACCACAAGACCCTCTCCACTGCCCCTGATGTCCAGAAATTCATGCATGTCACTGCTCTGGCCCCTGGTCCAGTCCCTAGGCCCAGACCTCAGCCCTACCTCCTGTAGGGCCCTGCTGAGTCCCAGCACTGGCCCTTCAGCCACCTCAGCCTCACTGGCCTTCCAGCCCATCCCTTCTCTTCCAGGAAGCCCACCCTGCCTGCGCCACTTGCCCACCTCACACCACTTCTCCCTCTTGCTTCTCCCGGTGTACACTCGATGTCAGAGTTGCAAACAGGCAGCGTGTTGGTGGATGTTCAGCCTGCATGGTGTTTCAGAAAGAGGTGAATGGTGGGTTCATTGCCAAGATTTCAAGTTGGAGAGATTTCACATAAAAACCTGGATTTTCAGCCCTGGGCCCTGGTAGGAACTGATGGGTAGCCTGGCACAGCCCACCCAGCCCACTCGGCCTTTATTGTCCTTGCTTGTGTCTTCTGTCTGGCCGGCCCCCGCAGGCTCTGGGGTCTACAGCTGGGAGGTCCAGCCTCTACCCAAGGAGCCTTGCCTCTTTGGGACCCTTTCTCAGAGCAGGGAGGAGCCTGGCCCAGCAGAGCCGATTCCTGGAGCCTCTGTGGAAAGGCAGAAGCACTAGCGAGGAGAAGCTGAGGCCCTGAGCCACCAGCTCGCTGGGCAGAACCAGCCTGGGTGGTCACTGGACCACAGTTGATGGCGATTCTCAGGGCTCAGTCCTTTCCAGGCTGTGACCTAGTGCTTGCCCTGGTACCACCTTTGATTCCTTTGTTTGAAGGGAAATGGGGGGGCAGGGGAGTGGTGCCTGCAAGCCTCCCCCTACAGACCGTGAGCCCCAGGAGGCCCGCCTGCCCACTGGCTGTCCACCGCAACCCCAGCCCACACGGCCGGCGGCAACTACATGTGGAAGGAAAGCACACGGAGGGTGCCAGGGTATCGGAGGAGGAAAGGGCTGGACTCCGTCTGGGCTGCAGGCCATCCACCTTGATTTTAGTCTCAAAGCAAGCAGGAGATTCCAACAGCATGCCAGGTGCAGTGCTCAGCGGGGCAGGGGAAGAGAGAAGTAGGAGAGACTGCAGGAGAGGGGCTGACACCTGGTGGTCAGCTGCCGGTCCTCCAGCATCACAGCCTGCCCCTCCCTGCCCCTCTCTCAGCCCCC